CTACTGTGTCTTATTTTCATATATATTCGCAACAGCAGAGTTAGTACACCTAGAAGAACCAGGTTCTTACTAGAGCGAAAAATTGGGTACCACACAAATCATCACCCCTCTTGTGTGGATTGACGTTTAGAACATCACTGTGTAGATAACCAATCGCGAGCATCATAGCAACCTGTGCATAGCCTCCAAGCTCTTAGAAGCACAACTATCAAGCCGAAACGATAGAAAAATCATTCTGCAAGGCGACGATAATAGCGCACCCAACTATACCGGGAGAAACATCCCGCACCACATCTGTAGTACCATTAAAATTCTTTAATTCTCGATTTATAACAAGCGGTTCGCGTCGCGTAAGATTGAGCAGGAAGAAAACAAGGGCATGAGCCTCAAGGAATCAAGTCGCATGACGAGGAAATCAAGAAGTGAAATTTTCCTAACAGTTACATAGCCTCTCGTAGATAAGTACAGACGTCTCCGTACCGATCAGCAAGACTCTAATAAACCGGCTTGTGATCCATGACTCCTATGAACCTAGAGCTCTGATACCAACTTGTCACGACCCCAGTTCGCCCTCCGTGAACTGTCGTGACGGCACCTAGTCCCTATGACTAGGTAAACCTAACAAATGCGAAAAGTAAACAATTTGCGGAAGAACTAATTAAACCTAAAAATAACTGAATGAAATAGTATTTAAGATGCCGCTCGGCATACACAATATCAAGTTCTCAAAACCAACACATAAATCCAAGACCCGGAAACCCATGAATCACAAGCTAAGAAATACTACATAGCTCTAACTCCAGAATGTCTAACAAGAACGGAGATACAGAAGGGCTAATACTAAACAACAAGAATAGAAAGAGACTCCTCGGTCTGCGGACGCGGCAGATATACCTCGAAGTCGCTATAGCAGTCGCCTTGCCTCAGGGGTGGTAAGACTAAGTCGAAGTACCTGGATCTGCACATGAAAAACATGCGCAGGAAGGGCATGAGTACACCACAGCGGTACTCAGTAAGTGCCAAGCCTAACCTCGATTGGGTAGTGACATGGAAGGTCAGGGCCCTACTGAGGTTAAATAAGATATAAGGTTTAACAGTGTGAAATAAGTAGTGTAAATAAGTAACACATGTTATGAAGAACGGCAACAACTATTACAGAGGCAAATAAAACACAAAAAGAGAATACAACTAAGCTCCAAGATAACAACCGGGGATCTCCCAGGATACCGTCCTGTAGTCCCCAAATATAAATATCAATAACCGGGGATCTCCCAGGATACCGTCCTGTAGTCCCCAAATATAAATATCAACAACCGGGGATCTCCAGGATACCGTCCTGTAGTCCCTAAATATAAATATCATATCCAGTGGATCTCCCGGGTGCAGTCCCGTAGTCCAACTCGTAAATGCACGGGGATCTACCGGAATACCACATCCGTAGTCCCAATACAAATACTCAGTACTGGGGAATCTACCGGGTGCAATCCCGTAGTTCCAATGTAAAAGTGCAAGGGGATCTCCCGGAATGAAATTCCGTAGTCCAAAAGTAAACATACATGGGAGCTCCCGGGATACCGTCCCGTAGTCCCAAAGTAAACATACACAGCAGCAACAAGAACTCAATTCAGTCAAATTCACGCCAAGGTAAAAGCAGATAAACCTAACCTAGCATGTTTCACGTAATACAAATAAGGTAGTTAAGGCAATTAAAGCAGTTTAATCGAGTAGACATGCTTTTCTAGGCTAGCAGCAAGCTTAATTTCCAATAGTGTAAGCAAGAAAAGGAAGAACACAATTCAAGGCTATTTTTAATGAAAACCGAATTTCCAACAATTAGCACAAGTACGCGCTCGTCACCTCACGTAAAAGGCATTTCAATTACCACAATATCGATCCTAAGGGGAAAATCCCTCACACAAGGTTAGACAAGCCACTTACCTCGAACCGGCTCAAAATCAACCCGAAACCACGCTCTTGCCACGAGTACTCGACTCCAAATGGCCCAAATCTATTCAATTCAATTTCATAATGCAAATAACACTTCAAGTAACCAATTCTACAATTAAATTCTAAGCTAATACGCAAAATTAGGTAAAATGACCAAAATGCCCCTCGGGCCCACGTCTCGGAGTCGGGTAAAATTTACATTTTCAGATCCTCATACCCTCGCGAGTCTAACCATACCAAAATTATCCAATTCCGATACCATTTGGTCCTTCAAATCATCATTTTATATTTTTGAAAGATTTCACAAGTTTTCTTCCCAAATTCCATCCCAAATCACGAATTAAATGATGAATT